AAATAGAAAAATTCTAGGTCAAGTGAATGGCAGTCCTAGCTTGAAATGCCAAAAATAGAAAGTCATTGCCCTCATTTTCCAAACTTGATCCAGCTAACTCATTCAATGAAAGGGAGAATGAGTCCTCTTGAGGAAAGACCCAACTGCACTGCTGATAATTTATACGTTGGAGATTCAAAAAGTTTGTGGAAAATTCCATTATCATTTAATTCCATTCTTCTATGAGCTTTTTAAAGCTTCCTCAAACTTTTCATCCTTATCCCAGTTTATACCAAAAGGATAACTCTGAATTGACACCAATTCCAGGAAACTAAAAACATTACTATAGCTTACCAGTCACTGTAGGAGAGTATGGAAGTGAGATTATTAATGGAATTTTAGTTCAGGTCTACCTCACAGCGAGTCCAATGGATCCCCAAACCCATCTAGTTCCAAATTATACAGTTGGAATAGACATACTCAGCAACTGGCAGAACTCACACAGTGGATTCCTGATATGTGGGCTATTATGGTAGGAAAAGTAAAGTGGAAGTCATTAGAACTGCCCTTCTCTAGAAAGATAGTGATAAAAAATACTGCATTTCTGGGGATATTGCAAAGATTACTACCACCACTCAAGAACAGGGGTGATGATTCCCATCATATTTATATTTAGCTCACCTATTTGACTTGTACAAAACCTAAATGAATGTTAGAAAATAACAGTGGAATATCAAAAACTTAATCAGGTGTAATGCTAACTGCAACTGCTATTCTAGATGTGGTTTCATTGCATGAACAAATTAATAAATTTTCCTGGTACCTTAGATGCAGCTGCTGATCTGGTTAATGTCTTTTTCTCCATATCTGTTTTGAAGGAGCACCAGAAGTAATTGGCCTCTAGCTGACAATGCCAGCAATATACCTGTACTGTACTATCTCAGTGTATGTCCTACTTCCAGCCTTATGATACATGTTAGTCTGCAAGGACTTTGACCACCTTTTACCTTCCACAGGATGTTACAATACTCTATTACATTAATGCCATTGTGCTAATTTGACATAGTAAAAAAGAGGTATTAATGATGACTCCAGATTTATTGGTAAGACATTTGCAAAAATTCTAGGCATCCTGTGAGATGAGGCATTGAGATACTCCTTCTAAAGTGAATGATAAGTTGCTTTAGCTGGCCTCTCTTACAACTGAAAGGGAAGTACAATGACTGGTATGCCTCTTTGGGTTTTGAGGCAACATATTCCTCATGTGGATGTGTTACTACACTGCATTTACCTAGTGCTGTGAAAAACTGCTAATTTTGTGTGGGGCCCAGAATGAGAGAAGGCTTTGCAACAGGTTCAGGCTGCTATGCACATTGCTCTGCCACTGGTGCCATATAATCTGCCTAACTCAAAGGTGCTTAAAGTGGCAATGACAAATGGAAACAAAATTTTTTTAAGACTTTTGTGACTCCCTATTGGTGAATCACAGAGTCATAGTGTGGCACTGTGGATTAATGTGCTAGGCCACAAAGTCTGAACCACAAGGTCAGTAGTTCAAGCTCACTAGCCACTTCTTGGAAACCCTATACAGGATAGCTACGGGTCAGAACCAAGTCGATGGCACTTAATAATAACAACAATTGGTAAATCACAGCACGAACACAGGATTTTGGAGCAAAGTCACACCATCCTCTATAGATAACTAGAGTATAAGTGTAAGAATGTCCATATACACAGGAGATATGTATAAGAATGTCCATAGGAACCTTGTTCATAATGGCAAGAAAAAAGAATACCAAATATTAGTGTAAAAAGTGTATCAGCTGTGGTTCCTTCATACAACTAAGTATTGAGTAACAGCAAAAAATGAGTAAACTATAACTACATGCAATCAGTCCTGGTGCCCTGATATGGCACTGTGGGATAATGCACTAGGTCACAAAGTTGGTTTGAACTGCGTGGTCGGAGGGTCAAATTCACCAGTCTTTCATCGGAAACCCTATACAGGATTCCTTGAGTCAGAACAGACTCAATGGCACTTAACAACAACAACAAAATCATATGCATTCAGTCAGTTTGTCATATAGTGATCCGTGAGTTGTTATTATGCTGGAACAGAACTCTGGCAGTGTAGTGGTTATGGATCAGGCTACTAACCTCAGAGTCAGTGGTTTGAAACTACTAGCTGTTCCACAGGAGAAAGATGAGGCTTTCTGCTCCAGTAAAGATTTACAGCCTCAGAAACCCTATGCAGGGTCACTATGAGTCAGAACCAACTCCACAGCACATAACAACAATGATGCTGGAAGTTATGTCACCAGTATTTCAAATACCAGCAAAAACTATGATCAATTGGTTTCAGTAGAGTTTCCAGATTAATACAGACTAGGAGGAAAGGACTGGCAATCTACTTATGAAAATTGACTAGAGAAAACCCTATGGCTACAATACTCAAGTCCCACAATGGCCACAACAATGGACTTGAGCATAGCAATGACTGTGAAGATGCCACAGGAACAGGTAGCATTTCATTCTGTTGTGCCTGGGGTCACCATGAATCAGAACCTACTCAACAGCAACTAAACACAGGCAATCAACTATAACGAATCTCATAAGCATAGTATTGGACAAATATAAATGCCAGATAAATAACTTACAACATAATACTATTTATGTATATACAAAATAACCAAATAACCAATATCTTATTAAAATATATGCAAACATATGATGGAATTATAAATAAAAGCAAAGAAATGGCAATCAAAACAATTTAGAATAGCAGCTACTTTTGCAAAAGAATTAGATGGTAGACATAGGCATTTTCAACAATTTAGAAATGATATCATTCTCAATTGGGTAGTAAATGTTCATTTTATCAATAAGCTCCACAACTTAAATATGCATTATATATCATGCATAAAGTAAGTTAAAATAAAAAAGACATTTAGATAACAAGTATGAAGAAGGAAGGAAGAAGAGAACAGAGAAAGGGAAGGAAGGAAGAAATTCATCCCTAAAACTTTCATGCAAAACATTATTGACAAGGTGGAAATGTCACAGCAAACCAACCAAATACCCCCAAGCACATATACACACACAAACAAACCTCTTGCATATTCTATAACGACTTAGGCTTGGCAGTGTAAGTAAGTTTTCTAACAAAATGCATAATTTCATATATATTTTCTTGCCAAGATGTTAGAAGAGATCTTACTTTGGAAGTTAGCATAAACCATAACAATACTTTAAAACTGTTAAAACTAGCTTTACAAATGGCAAATACACATTGCAACTGAAAACAGGATTTCAAAATAAAGACTATGAAAGATCTTTTCAAAATATTATCTTATTTTCAAAAATTTCTTCTTTGGGTCTTAAATACAAAGCCATGAGATTTGTCTTATCAGCATCACTTTCTCACAGCACACCTCTCCTCTCTGTTCCAAGTAATACAAATTAAATGTATATGTATAACTAATTTAGGCATCGCAGAATTCACTCAGAAACAGAATACGAACGTCAGTATTGAGATTTTACCATGAATTTCAGTGTTGTCATGGGTGGTATCAACAAGTCTCATAGTGTCAACCCTCCCCATTCCCACGGACCTCCTCTCATAACAGCCCATATATAATCCTTAGTAAAACGTATTCTCAATTTTAATCATTGAATATGTGGTATATATAGCTATAAATTACTTACATGTAATACTTCTTTAATTGCATAAATACTAAGAGCAATATTGTTTTGCAAAATCTTTCTGCACTGAATTAGAACATCATTAATTGCATTGTCAATAACTGAGCAGAACCTTTTTTTAAATTTTCTCCTTCATTTCCTTTAATTACTACTTCATTCTCAAAAAGTGATTGCTTTAAGTTCACAAATACTAATTATCACAATATTGTAGCTAAACCACCAAGCAATCTAAATCAGCAACTATAAAAACACCAGCAGCAACATACACACCAATGTGTACTTGGAGCACATGATTGAAAGAATGACTGTAATTGAATAATAATGACAGCTGTGACTAATCTGACAGGAGAACATTAGAAAATTCAAAAAATATATTAGCTTAGAGTTTAGCCTTGTGCATATATGGATACATGTATCTTGGGCTTACAAAATAGTCTATAGCTAACTAAAAGAGTATTCTACTAAAAAAAAAAAAAGTAAATTTCTGCTGAAACTCTGTACAAAAAATTTCATAGTTATTTTGGTGTCACCTACTCTAACAGTGTCACGTGGTGTGGTCTACACCACAAACCTCCCTCATAAGAACACTGGTGGATTGACATTTGAACTGTAAAATCATATTTCACAGAAAAATCTAAATTTACTTTATAGGTTATGAACACTTGATTATTATAGGAACAGCTCAGAAATAGTCTCAGTTTTATTTGGAAAAGGCAATTATTCATAGTAATGAGTTTTACAGATACAAAAAAGAACAGGAAAGTCATAGTTTTGTATACAACAAATATTCTCATGGAAAAATTGAAAGTGCTGAATAACAAACTTAGGTATTGTCCAAATGCTGGTCAAAGTGATACTCTGGCAAAAGTGTAAGAGAATGTCTTTGCTCTCCTTATTATTGATGAAACAGGACCCACACACAGCAGTAGAAGGTGTTTTGCATATTATTAAGACATAAATCATTAAACATGCTTTTTATGAGGATTACTACAATATGAAATGTATCTTTATTACATGTTAATTTGACATTTTCACACCACCATCTTAAAAATGGAAATGAGGAGGATAAAAGCACATAAAGCCACATACTTTGAATACTACTTGCAAAAATAGCAGAATCCTGGAAACATTTATATAATCATTCCTCTCCGAGCAGAGACATTTTATGGATAATGCTTTCTGCATTTTTACTTTAAGAAGATTGCCAGGGGCATCCATACCCATAAAAGTTAAGAGACCAATGGAAACAGAACACTGTTGTCTGTGTTAACGGTAGTCGCTTTCCACAGGTAGCTGAGAAAGAAAACAGAAAAGCTTACCTTTATGGTGGTTTGCACTGGATACAACTTTCCCCCACAAGGTTACAATAAAGATTATTATTAGCAGTTTTCCTTTTGTTGCTTTCTGTAAGTATCTCTTACTCATCCTGCAAATAAAAAATATAAAAAACATAAACACTAAGTATGTGAACCCATTGCTCTTCCATTGTAATCTTGCTATATTTAAAGCCTCCCGTGGTTCCTTAAGGAGTCAAGGTGTAGTTCTGTAGGATAAGCACTGGACTGCTAACCACAAGATCGGCAGTTCAGACCCACCAGCTGCTCCTCAGAAACCATATACAGGGTGGTCATGAGTCAAAATCTAATTGATGACACTTAACAACAATAACATGGTGCCTTAAAAGGAACCCTGGTGACACTGTAAGGTAAACACTGGGCTGATAATCACAAGGTCAGAGGTTCAAATCCACAAGCCTCTGTGAGGAAGAAAGATGAGGCTGTCAGCTCCTGTAAATATTTAGTCTCACAACCCTATACAAGTGAAAAAAACAAACAAACCCTATACAGAATCCCCATGAGTCAGAACTGGCCAAATGGTAGTGGGTATGGCCCCTTAATACACTGAGCCAAGCCTTTAAGCTGGTTTGAACCAGTTCACTGGTGGCCAATGAAGCAAATCAGAACGGACCCAATATTTCAAAATTTGGGTGGTCCAGGGTGAGTAAAGTTTCCAGTTGAAGTCCTGGAATGGGAGACTCATAAGAAGTACAGTGAGTCCTTTCAGGAGCTCATGATGTTTTCTCAACAACGTACTTCAAGGTATGATGCTAGACCTAAGTCTTCAGCCTCTTAATCAATTAAGAAATACTGTCATTTTTCTCCCAATATAAATATAAACTTAACTTGTCAACAAAATCCAGGACATAGCTGTTTGGAGGATGCTTAAATAATATTTAAAAATTATTCTAATTCATAAAAATATTTTTTTCCTTAATGTCAAGTCAAAATCTAAGGACAAATAGTACAAGAACTCTTTAAAACATTCATGGGAAAATTCTATTATCTTTGAATTCCATTTTTTACTAACTTTCAGAAGCGCATCATGTACATAAAATTGGTTACTTGAATTCCTGAACAAAATCAAGTTCTCCAAACTGTGTTTGCAAAGACTGAATTATTTGATGTGTGTGTTCACTGTAGTATGAATTTTTAAAAAAACAACAACTCTTGCAATCAGGAGTACTGGTGTGACACTGTAGGATAAGCACTGGACTGAGGACCACAAGGGCTGTAGTTCAAACCCACCAGTTGCTCAATGAAAACCCTCTACAATGAGTTGCTATGAGTCAAAATTGATTCATGAGCACTTAACAACAACAACAACAACAACAACAAGCAGAGGTCTCTCAAACAAGTTGCGCTCAGATACTAACCAAAAGGTTGGCAATTGAGACCCACTCAATGGCACCAGGGAAGAAAAACTTGGAGGTCTGCTTCTGTAAAGATTATAGCCAAGAAAATCCTACAGAAATCAGATCTACTCTGTAGCACGTGGGCCATCATGAGGAGGAATCTATTCCACGGCAAAGGGTTTAGAAATAAGTCCAAAGTAGAAGTTTAGTATTTATTCAAATCTTCTCTGGGCATTAATATTGCCAGACACAAACATGCAGCTTCCTGAGTTTCCCTTGCTTCTGAATGCCCCAACTTCCCAAAGAAACTCTTTTCAGGGCTTCTTGACCAGGCCTTAAATGTGGGTCCCTTGCTGTCTCTTGCCTCAGTCAGCTACAGGCCTTTCAGTTCATTCTTCAGTGCTCTTCTGTCCCACCTATCACTAAAATTGAGGAACCCAAAAGGTGTTTTCTTCAGTTCTCTGGGTAGCCACTTCACAGGGTCAAACAGACAGATATAATACTTGCTGCTCTTTTGGGAGCCCAGGACCAGAGTCCCTCACTGGAAATGGGCCTACTGCTTCAAGCTGAGTGCTGTGTGCTGAAGGGGTTAGAACATGGTCTGGAACAAAAAACTACAAAGCTTTCATAGCATTTTCTGGATAGTTGTTTTTTTTATTGATTAAATATTCGCTATCTACACCCTAAACATACCTGATCTTATGTGATCTCAAAAGCTAAGAAGGGTTGGGCCTAGTAAGTAGTTGGATGAGAAACTAGGGAACTGGGAACACCAGATATTGTAGGCTACCATTCTTCCTCTGTCAATTTGTTAAACTTTGGTGGCTTGTGCATTGCTTTAATACCATCAGGGTCACTCACGGTGGACAAATTTCAGCTGATTTCCAGATTAGGATAGGCTAAAAAGAAAGATAGTCAGACCACTGTTGAGTCATTGTTGTTGTTGTGAAGTGCCATTGAATCGATTCTGACCCATAAAGAACCTGTATAGGGTTTCCAAGGGGCAGCTGGTGAGCTTAAACCACCAACCTTTCAGACCTTGCAGTTCAAATGGCTTTGCAGTCTGGGGCATTAACCCACAGTGCCACACCAGGACTCCTGCTGAGTGATTGCTGTTGTTGTTATGGGCTGTGGAGTCGGTTCGAACCGACTCATAGTGACTCTGTGCAGGGTTTCCGAGGCTTTAAATCTTTATGGGAGAAGAAAGCCTCATCTTTCTCCCATGGAACAGCTGGTAGTTTGCAGCCCGATTCATAACCACTACGTTACCAGAGCTGAGTGATAAGCCACTGAAAACAAACTACTTCTGAATGATTAGCCACCGAATAGCAGCAGAACATTGTTGATCTACTCCCAGAAAGTGAACTCCTCAGGTTGGGAGGAACTCAAAATCCTATCACAAAAAAGTTCCTCAAGGTAAAATATCCCTTAATGACATGGATAGGACAAAACTTTCAGGACATTCATTTGGTGATGAGGCACAACTCAAAATGTGAAGAAACAGCTACAAATATCCATTAATAATCACACAGTAGAATATAAAAAGTATGAATACAGGAAAATTGGGAGTCATCAAAAATGAAATAGAATGTATAAAAATAGATATCCTAGGCATTGGTGGTGGTGGCTGTGTGCCGTCAAATCAGTTCTAACTCATTGTGACCTTGTACCTGGTTTCTCAGGCTGTAAATCTTTACTGAAGCAGAAAGCTCCATCTTACCCCTCAGAGTAACTGGTAGATTTGAATTGCTAGCCTTGCAGTTAGTAGCCTAACTCGTAAACCACTGATCTGCTAGAGTTCCTTAGTGAGCTGAAATGGACTAACATTGGCCATTTTTAATCAAATAATCATATGGTTTACTATGCTGTAGACACCAAATTGAAGAGGAATGGTATCTCATTCATTGTCCAAAGAGCAATCCATGATCTATCTTAAAGTACAATGCTGTCTGTGATAGGATAATATCCATATGCATACAAGGAAGACCAATCATTACCATTATTATCAAATGTAATTATCAACTATGGAAGTCAGTGACGATAAAATTGAAGAATTTTATAAATTTCTTTAGTTTAAAATTCATCAGACATACAATGAAAATGCATTGACAATTACTAGTAGCTGAAATGCAAAAGCTGCAAACAAAGAAGAAGGATCAGTAGTTGGAAAATACGGACTTAGTGATAGAAGTGATGCACATGACAAGATTATATAAGACCAATGATTATTTACTGCAAATACCTTTCTTCAACAACATCATAGGTGACTGCACACATGGGCCTCACCAGATAGAATACACAGGAATCAAATTGACTACATCTGTGGAAATGTTGTTGCTGTTATGTGCCGTGGAGTCGGTTCCTGCTCTTAACAACCCTGTACAGGGTTTCCAAGGCTGTAAATCTTTACGGGAGCAGAAAGCCTCATCTTTCTCCCGCAGAACAGCTGGTAGTTTTGAAATGCTGACCTGGCAGTTCACAGCCCAATTCGTAACCACTACAATATTATCATCTAAAACAAAGCCAGGGATGACTGTTTAATAGGCCATCAATTGCTCATATGCAAATTCAGGCTGAAGCTGAAGAAAATAAAAACAACTTCACAAAAGTCAAAATATGATCTTGAATATGTTGTTGTTAAGTGTTGTCGAGTTGGTTCTGGCCCATAGCAACTCTGTATAGGGTTTCTGCAGAGCAGGTGGTGGATTTGAACCACTGACCTTGTGGTTCAAAATGACCTTGAGATCCAGCTCATTATCCTACATCACCACATCAGGACTCTGAACTTGAGTATATCCCACCTGAATTTAGAGAACATTTCAAGAACGGATTTGATGCATTAGACACTAATGATCAAAAACCAAAGGAGTTGTGGGTGATATCAAGAGCATCATACAGGAAGAAAGCAAAAGTTCACCAAAAAGATAGAAAAGAAAAGGTGAAAAAAAAAAGACCACAACAGATGTCAGAAGTGACTCTGAAACATGTTTTTGAACATAAAGAAGCTAAAGTGACTGAAAGGAATTTCAAAGTTCAGCTTGAGAAGACAAAGTCAAGTATTATAATGAAATGTATAAAGACCTTTAGTTAGAAAGCCAACAGGAAAGAACATACTCAGCATTCCTCAAGCTGAAAGAACTGAAAGAAGAATACAAGCCTTGATATGCAGTGCTGAAAGATTCTAGGGGCAAAATACTGAATGACACAAGAAGCATAAAAAATATATATAAGTAAAATACAGTGTACCAAAAATAAATGGTAGACATTTAACCATTTTAAGAATCAATCCAAGCTACACTGAAGGCATCAGTAAAAAAAAAAAAAAAAAAAAAGCTCGAGGAACTGACAAATACAAATTGAAATGTTTCAACAAACTGGTGGACACCTTATACAGGGTTGCTATGAGTTGGAATCAATTCGATGGCACTTAACAACAACAACAACATATTTTAATATAGAGGTATGTTCACATTTCTTGCTCTGGAGAAGTTGTGTACACCAATTCAGATGCTGAGAAGACAGTATTATAGGATTAAGAATAGGGACTCTACTTCTGAGTTTGAGTTCAGGCTGTACTGGTTTCTAATTGTGTGACCTTGTACAAGTTTTTTAATTTCTTGCCTAAGCTTCATCCTCAGGAACATGGGATAATGAATGTGAAATGTATGTAAGGCCTAAGTAATTAGGAGGTATTAGAGAATGTTCAATTATTAAGATGTTATACTTGGTCCTTG